TTCATCGGATTGCCAGAGTAGCGTGATTCGTCACTCCAGAGAACACGTCTCCACTGCTCTAGAGTTCAGTTGTTCCCAGTTGCTTTCACTTTGTTATACCACTAACAGTTGACCATGTAATATTTACTATCAAGGAAGTCTCAAGGATGGATTTGGAGGCGTGACCCATTACTTTTGGCAATATAGTGTAGGTATCCTGTATTGTGACCAGAAAATTCCCTGGCGGGAAGGAGGCAGTCACTCACCTGGCATTTTTCTATGCAAAAAACTTTTAAACCCACAGAAACAGAATAGGGTGAACTATCCCATTCTGTTTGAGAATTGCAAAAAGGTTTCAGAGGGCTGACAGGTGTCCCTGCGCTTTGAAAAGTGGAGCACCCCACGGGTCTTGGTAGGTTTTGATGACCAAATCTTCTAACAAAAGTATTTTCATGACACACTTTACATTAAAAGACTGAGGGAACCCTTCTTAACCCCAGGAGAGGAAAACTTACTAGTAGAAGCATGAGGTTTTTATTATTCTAAGGGAGGAGAATACTCTTGCTCCATGTAACATCCATGATATACTTGTCCAAGGAGGGACAGATGTTTACCTGCAAAATTTAAACTGCTCAAGACAATTATTGCAAACAAGTTCTGTTGCCCAGTATTTGTACAGGAGAATCCTGCATGCACAGTATGTACAGATCAAAGGCTGATCCCGAACATTTGGCAGTGTATTCGCCAAGCCATTCACACAGTAATGTAAAGCTAAAAGCTTTACACACCTCAAAAGAACTGGGCACCCTGGGATGAATGTTTGAAAAGACTTCCATCCTGTACTCACCTCATCAGCAGAAGGAAAACCATGGAATGAACCCCCTCCCTGGCTTCACCCTCCACAATGGACATACCCCCACAGTGGTCTTCAGAGATTCGGAGAATCTAAAGACACTAGCAAAAAATTATATAGTTTGCTGGGAGTGGTTTCATGGGGGGGGGGGGGGGGGGAAATTTTCCCTCGAGCCTTCAGTTTCTGCACGTCTAATCACTTGAACGTAGCTGCATTTGACCCATTGTAATGATTTAAAGGAGCTCCTGTCTAGTACTGTACAGCTAGGAAATACAAATCCTTTGCCTATCAAACCAAAACTAATCTCTCTCTCTCTCTATATCTATATCTATCTCTCTCTCTCAATCACACTTTATTGAGTATTTAGCAGATTGCCTGACATTTAGCTTTAGCAATTAAATTTTTTTTTTATTATGGGAAACAAAAAAAAGACCAGGTTACAGATGAAGATGAACTCTTACAGGTAATTTACACAACATAAAAGTAAAAGAAAGAGACAAAGCCATTTACTGAAAATATTTTTATTTTGGGGAGACATTTCCCCCTCTTGGAGATGTTTACATGTGGCCCAGAATCTCTAACACTGCCATATATCTCTAGGCCTGCATTGCATCAGTACTAAGAAATAGCTTTCTCTGGTACAAACGTCACAAAAACTCCTGCATCCAAACTCCATACATAACAGATTATTCAGCACCCCTTCCCTATCACACCTTTTATTAGTTCACACATCAATTATTTACAGCATGAAACTTAAGCACAGAAATAAGTGATTAAAATAAAATATATATAATATTTACAGCACAAATACAAATGTATTTATTCAGGGGACACTGGACTGAGCCAGTAATTTCCACTTTTCTAACAAGGAACTCCCTTCCTACTATAAAATGCATTTACACTGATGAAGAGAAAACTTTCACAGTGGAGATATATCAGAACTCTAGTGCAGGCTAGTGGCCGTGTCCAGTCACAACAATTGTTGATCACAGGAAACCAGACTTTCTGGGTGCGTCCCCCAGTTAGTGTGAGATCGTCCTCAAACATGGCGAGTACTCTGGTTAAAATGAGTTAGGTATTCTTAAAGTGAGATGAAAATTAAAAGCGAGATGAGAATTAACAGCAGTAGAGCTATACAGTAGTTGACAACCTAATCCCAGAATATAAACACACCACACATGTATAAAACACATAGGTTCTATTTGAAAACATAGAAGTGATATGCTGGATAATATTTGTGCTCAGACAGTCAAGTTATTATGACAGATTGACATCAGATTGTCTGTTGGTCAAGCCTTGGCCTTCTAGCATTTTAAAGCTAACCTGTGCATTGCCTATTCAGTGGGGAAAAAAAATTAGACTCAATAAAAAGATGAACTCCAGGAATTAGCCAAAGTCTACACTTGCAATGGGGGGGGGGGGGGGGGGGGGGGGGGAGATTGCTGGTGCCATGCAGGTCTCCTGAACACTGTCTATGTAATCGGTCTGCTCGTACCTCGTAGGAGCAGATGGTTTTACACGGACAGGAAGAATGAATGAACTGCCATGGCAATCAACAGTACCGTGGTAGTTCACCGAGAGCTACAAGCTAACATCTGCAAAGGCTGTTGGTAGTTGTAGTTCATTGACTCACAGGGATCTGTGAATCAATGACATGGCCTTGTGGGCAGCGCCCAGTGCGGCCACACTCTATGACTTGTGGCAGAAGATCTAAAGTTCACTGCCACAAGGGGAGGAGAGGGGAGAGAGATCTGAGACTGAACATGATACACCCCAAATATGGGTGTAACATGTTCAGAAAGGTGAAATTATCCTTTAAAGCGATTCTATACTTACCTGCTGTGTGCAGTGATTTTGCACAGAGTAGCCCGAATCTTCCTCTTCTCGGGTCCCCCGCAAGCTCTGCTAGCTCCTCCTGTCTGTCGGGTGCCCCCACAGCAAGCAGCTTTCTATTAGGGCACCCGCTGCTCCGTGAGTCCATTCACAGATGGAGCTGTGGCTTGGCCCTGCCCCCTCTCTCATTGGCTGACTGGCTGTGATTGACAGCAGTGGGAGACAATGAGAAGGCAGAGACCCAGGACAGTCGAGGCTGTTATTCACATCGCTGGATTGCGATGAGGCTCAGGTAAGTATTGAGGGCACTGGGGAAGCTGCTGAACACAAGTTTTTTTACCTTCATGCATAGAGGTAAAAAACCTTCAGTCTTTACAACCACTTTAAGTCCAAATTAACTGGATTCATCAAGCTGCAGTTATCACTTAAGGAGTGCTGAACAGTGCTTAAGGCAGGCTAAAGTGCATACAATAACACAGGTTCAGGGGCCACCTTAGCATGTCTTAAAGTGACCCCTTCACCAATATCAAATTAAAATGGTTACGCTAGCAGATGACTGTAAATAAATAACAAATGCTTCTCTGTTGTGGCAGTGTGGGCAGATAGAAAAATTAACGTGGTTGTACACCCTTACATACACCCATCATAGCATCAGGTGATACGCAGAGATGAAACAAATCCTCCTACATAAGTTGTACCTATGTATCTGCAGTCCTCTCTACAGCCTTCCAAAACAAAAACAAACACAGCATTTCTGAGCTCTGAAAAGAAGGGATAGGGATCTGAAGCTTCACACTGCAGAACCCAGGGGTAGGGGCTCTGAGCCCTGATTGGAGGGAAGGGACACACCCCTCCTCACAGTACAGGGAACATGCACAGCTGTGGCTGTCAATCACAATCTGTGTGCTGGAGGTTTCCTCCCACCTCACCAATCATCTCATGGTGTCCAGAAAAGCTGTCAGAAGTGACTCACGCAGACAACAGAGGAACAAGGCAGCAGAAAGAAATCACTTTGGATAGAGACAAGTTCACAGCATAGAAGGGTGTACTTTGTTTATATTTCATGTCTGGGGTTTACAACCACTTTAAGTATTTAAAATCTTCTTTTCAAGTGACAAGTTTATTTTCAATCTAATAATGGCAACCAGGTTCCTTTAAAGCACAGTTCAAGATGCCCTAAATGCCGTCACAGCTTGACAAGTCCGGGCTATTGCAATCACAGGCAGACAAGGCACATTTATACTTGCATTTCCACTTCTATACGGTCATAAAAACTGGGCTGGTCCAATACTACATGCCAGGTTACCAGAAGAAAAAAAGAAAAAAATCAATCAGGTGCATTAGATTGCTTCTATGGAAACCAAGGCTGTCTTGGCCCTAGCTACCAAAATTTACTGACTGGTTTCCGAATTCAAAACGAACTCCTCCAGCCATAAAACCAAATTCTGCAGGAATAACATTCACTGAAAAATATCGCAGACTAACAAAACAGGAATGAGTAGAGCAAAAGTAAGACGAAATGCAATCACCATCATACACTGACTGCTATACTGTATATCTCTCCTGTTCCAGTATATAACATTTCTTTATGGAAAGACACGCATTGAGCTTTCTCAGGTCCAATGCAAAGTAAACATTAAAGCTGAACTCTGGGATGAGCAACTATTGTCTGAATACAAGGGGCGTGTGTATTGTTAATTGAATATCTGTACTTCTTCCAGATCTGTGCAGTAATCGAGGGGGAATGTTTGCCTCTGAGCAGGGGCCTTCTGTAATAGACCGGTCACTGGTGCGGTCTCTCCTTGTTCAGGGTGACTGGTCATGTATCCTCCCTCTCTGCTATGTGCAGCACTGTGATAATGTCAACAATATACGTTTACAAAGGTAATATCTGGGGTTGCAGTGGCATTATTTACACACAATTATATAATTTGTGGCTATTAAACAATATCATATATTTAAATGAAAGCCCAGAGTTCAGTTTTAAGTTCTGAATAGACCTCTAAAAAGGTACAAACTCAGAAACCAAGTCTAAAAATCCGTACACCTGGAGGTTGTTGGTAAACAGAAAAGGGGACCTTTAATAGCGATGCGAAGTAAAAACTCTTCAGACGTTAAGTGCAGACTCTTTCCTCCATTTCATTTAGTGTGGGGGAAGGAGGAGTGAGAAATTAGAAGAAAAAAAAAAAAAAATGACATGGATTATATCGGCTCGCTGCAAGTCCTTGAAATGAGAGCTGCCCCCTTCTTTTTCCAGCTGAATTGGTAATGAAGGCGTTTGTTGCACCCTTCAATACCACTTTGGTCTATGGTGCGTAGGAGAGCGGTGCGGACTTTATGCAGGCAGAACCCTCTCTAGTGTTTCACGAGCAGCAGTGGAAAGGCGGTCAGGAAAGCGGATGTCAAACTCTACTATCAGATCGCCTCGCTGATCTGGAGCTTTTGGGAATGGAAGTCCTTCTCCCTGAATTCTGCGTTTGGTCCCCGGGTTGATAATGTCCCTGCTGACAACAGGAATAGTGCGTCCGTCCAATGTGGGGGCGTTGACTGAGCAGCCGCAAAGAGCCTAAAGTGAAGACAAAGGATCTCCATAAGATACAAAGATGGGACATCAACAATAAGAGAGACCAATGATGAATGACAAAGTATGCTGATTCATTGTAAACCAAAATAGTTTTAATATTTAATAACGTCAGATATTCATCAGATATTCCTTCAAGAAAAAAAAAAAAAAAAAAAAAAAAAAAAAAAAAAAAAAATAAAAGGTTTAGTTTATCTAAACCCAAGAAAAAAAAATGAATAGTTTGCATCCCATCAGTCCTTACTGATGACATTTCATTTATTTAGGCCAAATACATCTACCACATGTACAGAAAAATCCCTGCTAGAAATTCAGTGTACATTTGGCTTCCTGTACACTGAACCCAAAGTATAAAACAATATGATCAGCCTTCCCAGTTCTCTTCTGAGGACTACAGAACATCTCCCACCTATGTTATAAAGAAGCAGGGTATGGGGTGTATTCTGTAGTCCAAGCCAGAATTAAAACAGCTGAGGGGGACAATGCTGCTCCTCCATAGCTACAGAACAGCAAGTGAGCTTTGCAATGCTAGGCAGGATATATGTTACTGGCAGGATCACCAGCTGACAAAGTAACAAAAAGCTAAAAAAAAAAAAAAAAATATTGCAGACAACACATGCAAGGACTAATAATCTACAGTAAATTACATTTTTGTTCTTCAGAATACATAAACCTTGTGCTATACACAGGCATGAACACTAATGAAGGGGATCGGCACGTGTACAAAGGTTGCAGTGGCAGCAGCTCTTGGGCATAGCATTATTTACCCTTTGCCATCATTTCTCAATACTTCTATGATCCATCCTAAATGTCATGTTAAAGCGAATCATTTTATTGTAACCAGATGGATTGCCACACTCCTTTTGTAGTTATCCTTAGACCCTTTCTGCCATTGACACAACTAAAGTGTGTTGTACAACGCCTGCATCCCCCAACTCACAAGGTGGTTCCTCCTGGAAGCCCCCAGGTCACTGCAGGACCCAATAGTAACATACGAGTTGGAGACAAATGTGCATCGAATGCTGCTTTGTCTGAGTCTCCAACACACAAAGTGCAATTCAAATTTAGTCAAGGATTCTTTCTGTGGCATGCTTCACACCGTGGCCTGTGTTTTAGGAATGGTCAGTAAAAAGCAGGTTGTAGTGTGGAGAAGGTCTTCATGGAGACTTCAGGGGTCTATTAGACCCCTCATGTCACTTTTTCCCTCCACTGTAGCTAATCAAGCACAGGTGCCACTTTATAAAGCCTTTTTTCAAATAATTCTTCCCCAGGTTTGAACATTTGGTTCTCTAAATTAGGAAAACAAAAATCAAAATAAGGTGTGGCGAATTACTGTGGAGCAAGCGCACAGTCTCAACTAAAAGGTTAATGGAGAGCATCCAAAGCTGCCTAGTATATGGTCAGTAATAAAAGTCATATGATCAGCCATATTAAAGTAGAACTAAGGGCAAAACTTTGTCATTTTCGATGGAATAAGGGAAGGTTATAACCCCTGGAAGGTTTATTTTTGCCCCATTGCAGAGATTTACCTTCATTTCCTATCCCATAGCAAAAACAGGAAGTGAGAGGAAATCCCTGCAAATGGGGGAAAGCTTCCAGTGGGGACACTAGTTCTGGTGACCTGGGGGTCCCCAAGAGATTCCTATTACTTTCCTTGTGATTGTCTTTTGCTTTCATGTTCAAGAACGGTAAACAGGACAAAGAAAGGGTGAATGTACCTCATGGGAGCACAGATGGGGAGGGGGGGGGGGGGGGGGGAAAGGTTGTTCTAATTCCTCCCCACTCCATTCAAAATTTTTAAAAAAAAAAAAATTAAAAGTTTTGCCTTTAATTATTAAAGTGGTGCACCAAAATGAAAAAATTCAAAATGCACTTGGCCGAAAACCAAAATGCGCAGTTTTTAAAAATGAATATTTTGGGGAAAAGAATACACGGATTAAAAAATATATATATATATATATATATATACTCCAATTGTTTTGTAAAATATGAAAGAGGATGTTACGGCAAGTAAATAGATACCCAACATGTCATGCTTTAAAATTGCACACGCTCGTGGAATGGCATGAAACTGCGGTACTTAAAAATCTCCATGGGTGATGCTTTAAAAATTTCTACAGATTAGCAGTGTAAAGTTACAGAGGAGGTCTAGTGCGAGAATGATTGCTCTTGCTCTGATGTTCGTGGCGACACCTGACGTGTGGTTTGAACACCATTTACATATGTGGGCACGGCCTACGTCTGCATTCACCACTACGTGCAAGTACGGGGGGGGGGGGGGGGGGGGGGGGGGGGGGGGGGGGGGGGGGGGGGGGGGTTACTTTATATAAAAAAAAACCCAAAAAACTTTTTTTTTTTTTTTTTGCACTGTTCCGTTTAAAAAAAATTGTAATCACTTTTATTCTTAATCACAAGAAATGCACACATCCCTTGTAATAGAAATAATTAGTGGCAGATCCTCTTTATGGAGAGATATGGGGTCATGGCTGGGGAGTAGCAGTCGGTGAGGGAGGCCCTGAATGGGAAAAGTGACAGTCTCCTTAAAGGACTGGAACAAGAAATGCTTTTAGCCTACAATGTCTCCTCTTCCTTTCAGTGTCCAGAAAGCGTCGGTATTAGAAGACTACTCACCTCTCTCAGGTTGATCTTGGCTGTGTACACCACATTTGATGAATCTCTCTTGAATACTGAATGTGGTTTGTCTTTCAGCACAAACACAATATCTGCAGGGATGTTGGTTGGCGTTTCGTCACCCTCTTTGGGGAATGTGATCTTCGTTCCTTCCTTCCAGCCTTTCTTCACCTGAATGGTGAGGATTTTATCCTCACTGTGTACACTTCTCCCATCGAGACCCAGACGCTTGTGGGAAATCTTCATTTTCTTTGTGCAGCCACTGAAAATTTCCTCAAGAGAGACTGGGAGCTCCCTGATTATTGGCGGATCTTGTTTCTTGTTTATCGGTGGACCCCGGCCTGGAGCAGCTCTCGGGAAGCCACCTAGGTGACCAAAGCCTCCCATTCCTCCCATACCGCCCATGCCAAACCCTGAGAAAGGATCTTCTGTGTCCATGTCTTCATCATTTCGCCCAAAGAAGGTGTCAAATGGGTTACGGCCTCCGAAAAACTCTGCAAACATGGCATGAGGATCTCCGTGGAAAGTGTAACTAAAAGAAGGACCATTGGGACCACCTCCTCTACCGCCCGGGGTTCCCTTTAGGCCTGGGGAAATAAAAAACACACATTAATAAACTGCAGCTCAGAAGATTACACACCAACATCCTAGCACAATATCTGAGAAGTGTCCCGTTTTCTTCCTGAGACACTAGCTACGTAGCAGGTATTTGGTGGAGATAACATTGTACTTGTGGCTGTTCTGGAGGAGCTGTATACATTGGCTGCAATGGATGGCAGTGGTGGTAATGGAGTGACATATATGGCTGCTACTGTGTGTAGGGTTCAGTGCATGGCTAAGGGTTGAGGACTGCATATGTCAAGGCCACATTATCGTCACTAGCTCTATTTTTTTTTTTAACTGGCTGCTAGATTTTTGAAAGATTTGTTATTGCTTATAGTACAACATTATAAAACTCTTTAGCATGAATATTTAATGGACATTCCAGCGCAAACGTTTCAGTTTAAAAAATGCCCACTAAATAGAAGTAAAGCACAGCACGACATGAAGGAGAAGGAGGAGGGAAGAGGAAGGAGTAGGGAAGAGGAAGAAGGGAGAAGAAGGAAAAAGAGGAAGAAGGGAGAAGAAGAGGAAGAGGAAGAAGGGAGACCAGGAAGAGGAAGAGGAAGAAGGGAGAAGAGGAAGAAGAAGTGAGACGAGGAGGAGGAGGGAAGAGGGAAAAGAAGAAGGAAGAAGAAGAGAAGAAGGAAGAAGAGGGAAAAAGAAGAAGGAAGAAGAAGAGAAGAGGGAAAAAGAGGGAAAAGAAGAAGGAAGAAGAAGAGAAGAGGGAAAAGAAAAAGGAAGAAGGGAGAAGAGGAGGAGAGAGAGAGGGAAAAGAAGAAGGAAGAAGGGAGAAGAAGAGGAGGGAAGAGGGAAAAGAAGAAGGAAGAAGGGAAAAGAAGAGGAGGAGGGAAGAGGGAAAAAAAGGAAGAAGAAGGTAGAAGGGAGAAGAAGAGCCCCATCAGTCCCACCACAAAAAACATATACACATATTTTGAGGGGGAAACGGAGAATGTGGCTCAAAAAAATGTCTGCCTCATCCTCCCCCATGTCCTTTCTTTCTCTTCTGACACAAGAACACCTCGCCTGCCGATTGTCAGAAAGGAAGGGCACTTCCCTAGAATAACAACAAAATTCAAAGTAAAAACTTTGAAACTGGTGGTGGTGTGCAAGTGCCTGCAGGAAACACAAGAACTGAGGACAGCCTATAGTATGGACTTTTTAAACCCCTCTGTGCTTGTGTTTCCAGTAAGAGAAGCCTCTTGTGAGACCTGGGAGGATGACTCTGGAAAATCAAATTTTGTAGAGATTTTAGTCCTCATGCACACTGGACATTTTTACAGTGGCTGTTTTTGGCTTTTAATGTTTTTTTTTCTACAGCTAGTAAACCCCCCAGCATGTTATCCTATGTGTCCATGCACACAGATTTTTTGGCAGGGACATTTTTTGACTGGGAAAAAAAACAAAAACACAAAAAATAAAAACACACTTATCTACAGTAGTCCTCAATATGTATAAAAACGGACACAGATATTGGTATACAGATTCAAGCAGTAAAAGCAAGCAAATGAATCTAGAGTGACAGGCTTGTAGCGATGGAATCAGTTTGAGATACAGGTGAAACTCACAAAATGAGAATATTGTGCAAAAGTTCATTTGTTTCAGTAATGCAACTTAAAAGGTGAAACTAATATATGAGATAGACTCATTACATGCAAAGCAAGATAGTTCAAGCTGTGATTTGTCATAATTGTGATGATTATGGCTTACAGCTCATGAAAACCCCAAATCCACAATCTCAGAAAATTAGAATATTGTGAAAAGGTGCAATATTCTCGGCTCAAAGTGTCCCACTCTAATCAGCTAATTAAGCCATAACACCTGCAAAGGGTTCCTGAGCCTTTAAATGGTCTCTCAGTCTGGTTCAGTAGGAATCACAATCATGGGAAAGACTGCTGACCTGACAGTTGTGCAGAAAACCATCATTGACACCCTCCATAAGGAGGGAAAACCTCAAAAGGTAATTGCAAAAGACGTTGGATGTTCCCAAAGTGCTGTATCAAAGCACATTAATAGAAAGTTACGTGGAAGGGAAAAGTGTGGAAGAAAAAAAGGTGCACAAGCAGCAGGGATGACCGCAGCCTGGAGAGGATGGTCAGGAAAATGCCATTCAAAAGTGTTGGGGACTTTCACAGGGAGTGGACTGAGGCTGGAGTCAGTGCATCAAGAGCCACCACACACAGAGACGGATCCTGGACATGGGCTTCAAATGTCGTATTCCTCTTGTCAAGCCGCTCCTGAACAACAAACAATGTCAGAAGCGTCTTACCTGGGCTAAAGAAAAACAGACCTGGTCTGTTGCTCAGTGGTCCAAAGTCCTCTTTTCTGATGAGAGCAACTTTTGCATCTCATTTGGAAACCAAGGACCCAGAGTATGGAGGAAGAATGGAGAGGCACACACTGCAAGATGCTTGAAGTCCAGTGTGAAGTTTCCACAGTCTGTGTTGATTTGGGGAGCCATGTCATCTGCTGGTGTTGGTCCACTGTGCTTCATTAAGTCCAGGGTCAACGCAGCCGTCTACCAGGAGATTTTGGAGCACTTCATGCTTCCTTCCACAGACGAGCTTTATGGGGATGCGGACTTCATTTTCCAGCAGGACTTGGCACCTGCCCACACTGCCAAAAGCACCAAAACCTGGTTCAATGACCGTGGGATTACTGTGCTTGATTGGCCAGCAAACTCGCCTGACCTGAACCCCATAGAAAATCTATGGTGTATTGCCAAGAGAAAGATGAGAGATCGAACAATGCAGAAGAGCTGAAGGCCGCTATTGAAGCATCCTGGTCTTCCATAACACCTCAGCAGTGCCACAGGCTGATAGCTTCCATGCCACGCCGCATTGAGGCAGTAATTGCTGCAAAAGGGGCCCAAACCAAGTACTGAGTACATATGCATGCTTCTACTTTTCAGAGGTCCGATATTGTTCTATGTACAATCCTTGTTTTATTGATTGCATGTAATATTCTAATTTTCTGAGATTGTGGATTTGGGGTTTTCATGAGCTGTAAGCCATAATCATCACAATTATGACAAATCACAGCTTGAACTATCTTGCTTTGCATGTAATGAGTATCTCATATATTAGTTTCACCTTTTAAGTTGCATTACTGAAATAAATGAACTTTTGCACAATATTCTAATTTTTCGAGTTTCACCTGTACTTCTTGGACCATTTAGATTACATAACCAGATGCAGATGATCTCCTGATCTGCATTTTAGTGGATTTTGCATTCTCATAGGTCCTTAGGCTAGGTTCACAACTGAGCGGCTGTGGGACTGCTTGTATATTGTACGCTTTCCTGCGCCCAAAACACGCTGCTGTTAGCAGACATGTGGGGGTGTCATTAATTCTTAATTGCACCTCCACACACACCGGAAACTGCAGGGCTTGGAACACATTTTTCAGGCATGGAAGTAAACATGTGCATCTACTGTAGATGGCTGTTGGACCCTAAATACTGTACAGCCCAGCACATGAGAATGCCATTTTATGCCTTTGAAAACTATGCTGCCAATACACCATCTCATCAGTATGCAGATTCCCTGTGCCTGCGATTTTAGAAAAAGGGTCATGGACCTTCTCCCTGCGTTTCTCGAAGGTGCCAGCAGCCCATTCAAACTAATAGGCACAAACAGAGTTGCAGGGAAAACGACAGTGTGAACCTAGCCTGAATGACACAGCATAAGTGCTAGGCATGTCCTGATCTGCAGGAATACTAAATCCCAGGACAGGACGAGGCATGTACAAGGAGATCCCAGCACAGGCTCTTTACCACATGTGGAAAGTACTGGTAGGGAAACACTCCTTAGAGAGCTAGGTTGGCTCCTTCTGCACTCCGACATTAGTACACCTATGGGGTCTCATGTGACACTGCAGAACACCAACAGTGAATAGGAAGGCCAAAAAAATCCATCTGCCTCACCAAACTTCAGGAAGACAAATCTGTAGCCGACATAAAATTCCTGGATGATAAAAATCACCCATCTAACATTTTCTGTTACCAATACTGGAAATCATTTCCTTGTGGCATTTGAAAGATGTAACCCGATTTGCTGCAATGATCAACAGCTCACCTGAACTATTAAATGAGCAAAGAAAATGTGGAACCTAAGGGGTTATTCCTCTACATTGTACAAAAAGGCTGTTTGATCCTGACTTCTCTGCCCCTCCTCTTGTTCAAATGTCCACCTGCTAAGATAGACTGAAACCATAGCCACATGCTCAGTTTAGTGTGTAGAGCTAGAGAGGTTTTTCTTTTTTTTTTCTTGGGAGAGTGCATGTGATCATCACAGGGCCAATCAGTACTGTCTAGACCAGCCTTTTTCAACCAGGGTGCCTTGGCAAAAGATCTAAAAATTGCCCAAAACTTGTATACAAGCCAGCCTTTTAGTTACACAAAGTTTTCGTTGTGCACCATTATGACCTTCTAGCGGTCGGTGTCCTGACAATCAATGATATCATCAGTTGATAAGGAGGATGTCAGTTGCCTGCACAGCATCCTAGTTTTACCCTCCCCCGCCACTCTCCATCAGTGCCAGGGTCACATTAGCTCAGTGATGGAGAAAAAACGAAGGAGAAGAGAAACACTCGAATACTAGTCAGTACCAGTGTGCAAAAGTGTATTTGGAAGAATAAATCACCTTAAATATTGGGTTTCCTACATGTGTGGTCATTCCTGCGTTATATAAAACTTTTCAGATTTAGAATGGGGTGCCTCAAGATTTTCCATAATTTTAAAGGGTGCCTCAGGACTGTGTATAATGTTTAAGGGTGCCTTGACTAAAAAAAGGTTGAGAAACACTAGTCTAGACAGAGGGTCAGGGGTTTTGGATCCTCCTAGAGTAGAATGAAAACTTCTCCTACAAGCTTTAACCAGTGCTCTGCTGAACACTGATAGAAGTTACAAGACTGCTCTAATTGCTGATGAGAAAAAGGTATTTAGCAGTTCATATTTACTAAAATAATTGCATTTCCATGTTGTGTGCACTGTGGGAGACCAGATATAATGAAAGCAGGGTCCGGGGTTTAGCAACACTAACTACAAATCACTCTTTAGGCAACACTAAGCCATTTTATATATCATGACTTCCATAGAAATTGTACAGGGATAATGATGATCCTTACTGAATCGCATATATGGAATGTCAGAAGATGGCTGTATACTCCATTTTGTCACACAGAAATGTTTTTATAACGTCATATTTCAACGTTGATCATTGCAAAACACATATCTTGATTGGAATTGAGCCATTAGGCATGTGTGATGTTTTAGGAGGGGTAAAGTTTCTGCTTTGGTCCTTCCAAGGAGGGCTAGATCAGCAGAGAAAGGGCTCTATGAAAAGTGGGATACATGGAGGGCGGATAGTGTATTCCCCATATACAACAACAAATATAATTTGGAGCCTCATTTAATTTTTCAAGATTCCTTTAAAATAGAAGAACTTGAGCAGGAAGTACTATTCTCTCTATACAAACTTTTTTTTTTTTTTTTTTTTTTTTAAACTTGGCAAGAAAATCTCCGGTGACTATTATTCATGGATACAAGAACCTAATAAAACCGGTTCACACTTGTCCAGTGGGAGGCATAATGCTATATAAATGTATTGAACAGATATGGGAATGCTGACACCACACCTTCATACAACTGTAGTCAGCGTTCTGCAGCGCCGTCATCATTAATCACCTGCTAGGTGAGCTACAACTACCGCCTGTATATCATTAATGAAAGTCAACTCGTCGCTCCTACAGAGCAGGAAGACATTTTTAATGCACACAAACATTTACCGCATACGGCTGCTTATTGGACCATTTCTATCATTTCAAAAGTTGAGCCAAAAAAGGGGGATTTAGGTTGGTATTTGCCATTACAGTCAGACTAGAAATCAGGTTACCTGGACCAATAAAACTGCCCATAGAAGGTGATTGGATGTGTTGCCACTACTCAACCAACCTCATTTACCATAATTCGAGAAGTGTTGGCAAGCTTTGTCTGCTGTTGCCTAAAATGTGAAACCCGTCACCAGATGACAAGGTCAGAGGTCACCTAAAGTCTGACAACTACTTCCCTGTCATCTTCTTGAGCTCACACACTGCACAGGCTCAAATCATCAGACAGTGCAAGTAATTTCTGTCTACATAGCATGGCTGAAAAAAGACAAACGCCCATCCAGTTCAACCAAAAAAAAAAAAAAAAAAAAAAAAAAAAAAAAAGTTATAATCCTATTCCCTTGGTTGATCCAGAGGAAGGCAAAAAAACCCAGCAAAGAGTGATCCAATCTGCTCCTGCTGGGATAAAAAAAAATTCCTTCCTGATCCCCCGAGAGGCAATCGGATATTCCCTGGATCGACTTTACAATTCTAGAAGACAAATACAGTACATGGTTCATAAATAACCTTTAACGGGTATACTGATGATTACATCAGCCCAACTAACAGGTTTCCAGTAAAGTAGCCAGGTGATCTGACAAGGCAGACCTTTAAAATCATTTTGGCTATACAGTAGTTTAAGATCTAGAGTAGGGAAGGGTTAAAAAACCCCTATCAGGCATTTTCCACCATCAGTGTCTCGCTAGGGAGATTTTCCTTTTCTTCTTGGAGATACATCAGAATATGATCAAATCTCAAAGTGATGGGAATTTGCCACCGGAACATTACTGGATGATTTCCTCTCACCCATTCGGGCTGATCCCACGGCTAGTATACTAAAAGCTCTGTTTGAGTGTTCAGGCAGCTGTCTGTTTACGGCTGATGGGAGGAAATAGGGTGATGCCTATGTCAGCACTTCAGTGACACTTCATTCATGTCTCTGCACTGCACGGGGATGACATGCGGTGCCTACCTGTGCGCTGTGATAAAATGCACCATGTCTACATATTACCGCAGCTCACTGCACCGCACCTCCAGCCTGCATTGCAGTGCAAATGGGACACGAAGAAACTATTTTTTTCCAAGTGTCCCAATGGTGACTGGTGTTTATCCAGTGTGTAAAAACAGCAGTCACCCCACTTTGAGCCCTCACACTAGTAACAAATCTAATTTTGGTTTTGCTGTCTCAGAAGTAATGGTCACTGGGACAAAGAAGGTGAATCTCCAAGTGGGAAGCTGCAAATAAGCAAATTAAATTAATTAACCACTAGCCTACAGGGCACTTGTACCCCCTTCCTGCCCAGGCCAATTTTCAGCTTTCAGCGCTGTTGCACTTTGAATGACAATTGCGCTGTCATGCAACATTGTATCCATATGAAATTGCTAATTTTTTCCACACAAATAGAGCTCTCTGTTGATGGTATTTAATCACCGCCGGGTGTTTTATTTTTTGCACTGTTATAAAATTTTGCAAACAGGTAATGTTTCTCCTTCACGGATGTGCGTCGATGAGGCTGCACTGATAGGCGGCACAGACAGGCAGCACTGACTGGCAGCACTACTAGGCACTGATGGGGGGCACTACTAGGCACAGGTGGGTGACACTGGATCATCAGTGCCCTGATGATCAGTGCCGATCCATCCTCGGACAATTGCCGGTTATCGGCAGTACTTTCCTCATGATGTGACAGCGTGAGGAAAGTGCAGCTGATAACCGGCAACTGCATTTACCGGTGATCTGCTGTGTCATTGGACACAGCTGATCACGTGGTAAAAGGCCGCTGTGATTGGGATTTTACCACATCACGTGATCAGATGTGTTCGTAGGACACAGCAATCATGAAGATCGCCGGGAGCGCCCCCGGGGGCATTCTGGAACTATGTCACATGACGCCCTCCCAGGACTAGACAACCGCACTGTAGACGTCATTCCGCTATAGCGCGGTTAACAAGTGGTTAATTAATTAAAGGGGAAAAAAGGGGACCTGAGAGGGTCAAATGAGCATCAGAAAGATATTCTAGCATTCCTGCATTTCTATCCACATATGATGGAGGTATAGATGCTGACTGTGGGAGGTGTGAAAAGTGGAACCTCCCTGTACTAGTCATTTACAAAAAGGTTTCATCCCAACCACAGCACCACCTGTGTGGACTTTGCATGTTCTCCCTGTGCCTGCGTGGGTTTCCTCTGGGTACTCCGGTTTTCTCCCACACTTCAAAGATATGCTAGTAGGTTAATTGGCTCCTGTCTAAATTGGCCCTAGTATGTGTATGTATAAAATGTAAGTTAAGGACCTTAGATTGTACGCCCCTTGAGGGTTATGGACTGATGCAAATGTAGTACATATATGTAAAGCACTGCATAAATTGACAGCACTATACAAGTACCTGTAATAATAATACTACAACAACATTTGTGGAATCCGTTTCACACACATCCATCACTGAAGAAAGTGTTCCCAAAACATCATAAAAACTGTGGAACTCCTGCTTTAGCCTTGGTCATGTGGTTTCATGTGACCAGACAAGCCTGGCCAATTGATGACACTCTGAATGTTGCTCCTTCCACTTGGAGATGAAACATATGATTGGCACCAGAAAATAGACAAAAGGAATAGGGCAATCTTTATCTCACTCGACTAATAAAAGGTTAGTGGACCTGATCCGTAGGGTGACGTCCCAGCAATGACTGAATTAGGTTTTCCATTTTCTCTTCCATACGAATACTGGGACCTGATCCAGCCTGCAGCTCCATGTTATCAGATGGATTAGGTTCCAGGTAACTGTTGCAAATGTCATATGCAAACATACCTCCTCCTCCTCTCCCCTCATATAAGTATAATCCTTCTGTACACATTATACACAAGGTTGACCTCACTTACCTTCTTCCCCATATTTGTCAAAGATCTCCCTCTTTTTCGGATCGCTGAGTACATCATAGGCCTCTGCAATCTCTTTGAATCGCTCCTCAGCTCCGGGGTCCTTATTCTTATCGGGGTGATACTTCAGAGCTTGTTTTCTATATGCCTTCTTTATATCCTCCTCTGAAGCCCCCTTTGACAGTCCAAGGGTCTTGTAGTAATCTTTGCCCATGCTGGTGGAGGCTGTTTACAGGTAAATGTATACAAACGCACGGACAGCTGTGAATAAACAAAAAACACATCCAGCAGAAAGTTAAATGCATGTTGTATCCGGTCTGAATATTACGGCAGAATGCCAAAACAGGCAAATAAACTCTGAGCTCTGTAGCTGTATATACAGTGTGCCATGGTGTCATTTTCCAGCCTGTGGTACCCAAACCCCGTTGGGGAGGGGGGGGCACAACCTAATGTGTCAGGGGGGTTTTTTGGGCTTGTTAAAGTAGAGTTAAGCCAAACTGCACACTTTTTGATTTGTTTTAACTGAAAGTTCTGTTCAAAGTCTTCCAGCTGGTCTTACAGATGCATCCTCAGAAGAAAAGCTTTTCCCTGCCAGCATGTTGTAGACAAGGACCCTTGCTGTGCTCAAGCAGTGGTCTCTCAGCAAAGGTCCAACCCATCCACCGCTGAGTCAGAACTAGAGCTCTTCAATCAGCAAAGCTCTTGGTTTCTGCTGACTGGAGCAGCAGTTCTGACACAGCAAATCACGCACTGGACCTCTCCAGAGAGACCTTTCAACACAGACAGCAAAGGTCGTACTCTACACCATGCTAGCATCGGACATGGAAAATAACCAAGACCATGCTCTCTGTGTGGAAGCAGGGGTCTTTCTGCAGAGGTCCAACACATTCCCTGCTGAGACAGATCTACAGTTTTCCAGTCAGTGAAAAGCATGAGCTCTGCAGATTGAACAGTTCCTCTGCGATTCACATGCAGTCTGGCTATAGTGCAATTTTAGCCCATTAATTTGATTGGGCTGAAATCAGCCGAACAGCACCAAAAATGGCACATGCACAGCAACCATTACTACCATGCGATCTGGTGCATGGCAAAGGCACTGGGAGTTCCCCAATTCCCCATTTGCAACCTAGATTTGGTGTGTCATTAAGTTAACATGGTCACCCACTACCGATTGCAACTGCAGTGCATTTTTAACTTGGTGTGGAAAACACGCATGGAACATAGGTTTCCCGTACCGAGTTATGATGTGAACAAGCTCTACGGCTCCATTCACAAGTGTGCGTTTCCAAAGAAAAGGACATAAATGTAATTTATGTACAGCGTTGCATGACCGCGCAATTGTCAGATAAAGTAACGCAGCCGTAAAGCAAAAAAATGCCTGGTCAGGAAGTGGGGTAAACCTGCTGGAGGACAAGTGGTTAATTTATACTTTAACCCTTTTGCTGCCAGTGCCTGGACATTTTAAGCCTTTAACGACTTCCTGCCGGCTGCATATATGTGGCCCTGTGCAAACACATTACACTGCGGAGAGCGTGCTCCCAGCACGGTAGCTGGCAGGAATCAGTAAGCTCCCAATGCATACTTGTGACTGGAAGCATTCCGATCATGTGACTACTGTGAGACATTCACAGCGGTCACATGACCCGAATGCCCGCCTCCCAGCTTTTAAAGCTCCTAAAGGGCAGGGAGGCAGTCGGCAGGAAGGGGTTAAATCAGTATTCCCGAACCCATCCTGCTTTAGGCACTGCAGGTCCAGGTACACAGGTGGAGGAATCCATCTCAACTACGCATCCCCCCTCCTGTGTTGAGAGCCAAAGGATATGCGCTGTCGGGGGCCCCGATGTCAGATTTTGAAAACCCTGTTTTACATATATAACTGCATTCCACAAATACCAACTCACCATATATAGAGTATATATATCATATTAGAAGAACACAAACATTTCATGCTTTGCCTTAAGCATTCTATACATTCTGAGAATGCCAGATATGACGCATTGCCTGTAACATATACACACACTTTGGTCAGCCATAACTTCATGACCACTGACAGGTTAAGTCTATGACATTGATTATCTGGTTACAATGACATCTGAAAGTCGGTGGGATTTATTAGGCAACAAGTACACAAGTTGTGATGTGTTGAAAGTAGAAAAAAAAAAAAAAAAATGGGTATTGCAGTTTGTAGTGTATGGGGCTGCATAGCCACAGACCGGTCAGGGTGTCCATGCTGACCCATGTCCACAGCCAAAAGCTCCTACAATGGGCAGGTGAGCATCAGAACTGGACCACAGAGCAATGGAAGGTGGTGGCCTGGTCTGATGAATTAGGTTTTCCTTTACATCATGTGGATGGCGGTGTGTGCGTCACTTACCTGGGGAAGAGATGGCAGCAGGATGCAGTATGGGAAGAAGGCAAGCCAGGGGAGGCAGTGCGATGCTTTGGGCAATGTTCTGCTGGGGAACCTTGATTCCTGCCATTCATATGGACATTACTTTGACTTGTACCACCTACCTGAACATTTTTGCTGACCAAGTACACCCTTCATGGGAACAGTATTACCTGATGGCAGTGGCCTCTTTCATTAGGATGATGTGCCCTGCCACACTGCAAAAATGAGGAACACAACGATGCATTTGGGGCGTTGACTTGGCCTCCAAATTCTCCATAACTCAGTCCAATTGAGCATCTGTGGGATGTGCTGGAAAGCCAGGTCTGATCCATGGAGGCCCCAGCTCACAAAGTATAGGATGTAACGGATCTGCTACTAACGGCTTGGTGCCGGATACCACAGCATACCTTCAGAGGGCTAGCAGCATCCATACCACACTGGGTCAGGGCTGTTTTTGTGACAATAGGGGGACCTACCTGATATTAGGTGGGTGGTCATAAAGTTATAGATGATCAATGTATATCACACACACACACCCACCCACATACAGTATCTCCCAGAAGTGAGTCCACCCCTCATATTTTTGTAAATAATTGATTCTATCTTTTCATGTGACAACACTGGAGAAATTACACTTTTCTACAATGTGACGTAGTGAGTGTACAGCTTGTATAACATGTAAATTTGCTGTCCCCTCAGAATAACTCAACACACAGCCATTAATGTCTAAACAGCTGGCAACAATGGTGAGTCCACCCCTAAGTGACAAGGTCCAAATTGGGCCCAAAGTGTCAATATTTTGTGTGGCCGCCATTATTATCCAGCACTGCCTTAACCCTCTTGGGCATGGAGTTCACCAGAGCTTCACAGGTTGCCACTGGACTCCTCTTCCACTCCTCCATGCGGACATCACGGAGCTGGTGGATGTTAGAGACCTTGCGCTCCTTCACCTTCCGTTTGAGGATGTCCCACAGATGCTCAATAGGGTTTAGGTCTGGAGACATGCTTTGCCAGTCCATCACCTTTACCCTCAGCTTCTTTAGCAAGGCAGTGGTCGTCTTGGAGGTGTGTTTGGGGTTATGTTGGAATACTGCCCTGCGGCCCAGACTCCAAAGGGAGGAGATCATGCTCTGCTTCAGTGTGTCACAGTACATGTTGGCATTCATGGTTCCCTCATTGAACTGTAGTTCCCCAGTACCGGCAGCACTCGTGCAGCCCCAGACCATGACACTCCCACCACCATGCTTGACTGTAGGCAAGACACACTTGTCTTTGTACTCCACACCTGGTTGCCTCCACACACGCTTGACACCACCTGAACCAAATCAGTTGATCTTGGTGTCATCAGACCACATGACATGGTTCCAGTAATCCATGTCCTTAGTCTACTTGTCTTCAGCAAACTGTTTGCAGGCTTTCTTGTGCATCATCTTTAGAAGAGGCTTCCTTCTGGGACGACAGCCATGCAGGCCAATTTGATGCAGTGTGTGGCGTATGGTCTGAGCACTGACAGGCTGCCCCCCCCCCACCCCTTCAACCTCTGCAGCAATGCTGGCAGCACTCATACATCTATTTCCCAAAGACCACCTCTGGATATGATGCTGAGTATGTGCACTCAACTTCTTCGATCGACCATGGCGAGGCCTGTTCTGAGAGGAACCTGTCCTATTAAACCGCTGTATGGTCTTGGCCACCGTGCTGCAGCTCAGTTTCAGGGTCTTGGCAATCTTCTTATAGCCTAGGCCATCTTTATGTATAGCAACAATTCTTTATTTCAGATCCTCAGAGACTTCTTTGCCATGAGGTGCCATGTTGAACTTCCAGTGACCAGTATGAGAGAGTGAGGGCGATAACACCAAATATAACATACCTGCTCCCCATTCACACCTGAGACTTTGTAACACTAATGAGTCACATGGCACCGGGGAGGGAAAATGGCTAATTGGGCCCAATTTGGACCTTGTCACTTAGGGGTGTACTCACCATTGTTGCCAGCGGTTTAGACATTAATGGCTGTGTGTTGAGTTATTTTGAGGGGACAGCAAATTTACATGTTATACAAGCTGTACACTGACTACGTCACATTGTAGCAAAGTGTCATTTCTTCAGTGTTGTCACATGAAAAGATAGAATAAAATATTTACACAAATGTGAGGGATGTACTCACTTCTGGAAGATGCTGTATACTCTCACACACATTTTATATATATACACACACACGTACATACACACAGTCACATATATATAAATATATACATACATACAGCTACTGCTATGTTGTGATGATGGGACCCCTCCCCCTCCTCCCATTCCTATACACACTCCATGTGACTGCTCCCCTCCCCCTGTACACATACAGCCCCCCGTTAATAATGTAGGCCCAGCAATGTCCCCTCCACAGCACTCCCTTGTCAGCTCCTACCTGCGTCCACCGATCGTAGTCACCTCTATGCTCCGGCCCAACCCAGCCCGTCTCTTCTATAGACGCAGCTCCACCTCCAGAACCTTCCAGATCTTTCTTCCGCACTCCAGAAGCTGTGAGAGCTGGCTGCGCCTCCCAGCCAATCACAGCCCTCAGGGCGCAGGCGTAGACCAACCGAGAACAAGCACTAGATGCGGCCAATCAGCTTCCAGAGCTGCCTGTGTGTTTCAGAACGTGTGTGACACTCCCCCGGCGGTTTATTGGCCAGTTAGAAAGAGCTGTCAAAATCTCGGCCAATGAGGTTTAGATAGGAAGAAGTTGTGTATTTTTGAAAGCCTGTTGGCCATATTGGTTGAGGGCACTGTGCCAGTGATTTGCATTGGAAAGCACATGTGGTTCT